CCCCATCTGCTATTAACAGTGATCCATCCAACAGATAGTCACATGCCCCGGGAGAAAAACTTGGCCTGAATTGAGAAACTTCCTGTTCCTGCTGCAGTTGCTGGGGCAGCCGGTGCCCATCCCTCCCCACCACGGCTTATCGTCAAAGAACACGAGGCCAACTCACACTTAGAGCAGAGACCAGAGACAGAAAGGGAGAATCCCGCTCATGGTGTGAGGTCCCAAGCCCCAGTTCCTGGGGTCCTGAGGATGCTGGCCTTGTTGGAATTCCATAAGCTTCCAGCTCCCACCCCACCCCCCATTCCTTTTCAGTTTTTTGCTTAAGCTAATATAAGATGGGTTTCTGTCACCTGGGACAACTTTCAAAGTAATGTCATTAACATACACTTGATGCTGCAGATGGGACATAGAAACGAGGACAGCATTCTTAGGTAGAAAATGGCTTTACCTTTCACCTGAGCCCAAACTGCACAGGAGCACCTTCTCACCTATAAAGGAAAACACAGCGACACGTTTAACTAGGTGGCACATGCTGTCAGCTTAGTAGACGTTAGCTCTCCACGTTTCAGGGTTGTAGCTCTTAATTTGGACTGCAACAGTCTCACCTAGCTCAGCCATAGGACCACCAGGTATCCAGGGGACTGGCAAGGGACCCCAGGGATCACTTCTATCGTTTTCACAGATCTCAGAAAGCACACGCTACGGGCAAACAACGGCAACGGCGATACGTGTCAGTCTCCTTGCCAGCTCTGAGCAACTGGCACCGGCTGCCTAGTGAATGATGCTGAAGAGATTCTGAGGTCACATCCAGGCTCAGCGAGACATTGTGATGCATGTGACAGGCAAGGCTGTGAGAACTCCTGGCGTATAATAACACTTCCCCTGTCTAGATGATACTTATCTGGCCACCACGTTTACCCAAACTGTAGCCAAGAACCGGGAAGGAAGCAAAAAGAATATGTATGAAGAAAGCTCATCCATGGTAGAAGAGACCCACAAACCCATGGTAAGGAAATACCTTTTCTTCTCCCCTCTGTTATTGCATGCACATTTGTCTCTTAGGGATGCTGAGATTACTGTTTGTGATGAAACTCAGCAAAATATTCCCCAGAGGAAACTGAATAGCAGGGATGAGAGAAAGATCCCCCCAACTTCATGGAGATTTTCTCTCAAGTGTCAACCTTGGGCATTCAGGTTTTTACTCTATTTTTTTAAAATGATTATATATATATATTTACACTGAAAAATTCTTGGAAAAGCTTAAAATGGCCACAAGGTTTTGAATGTGACTAAATTTTGCCTGATGCTAAGGGCATCAAGTCCACCTACTGAAAGATAATATGCAAGAGTAACCAGTGAATGACATATTTCAAGACAGTGGAGAAGAAAAAAAAGACCACAAAGAGTAAGGCCGTTACTAGGGAACTGAGTGTATCAAAAGAGAGACATTGGCAGGGTCAGGTGAAGAAGGAAGCTCATTAAAATGAAGTACCTTGATGAGATTTGCATTTTATAAAACTCATCCTGGCAGTACTATGGAGAAAGAAGATAGGCAGAATTAGAGACAGAAAGATGAGTTAGAAAATTGATAACTGAGACATGAGATGTCAAAAGCTTGACAATGCTAATGACAAAAGGAAAGAATTTTAAACAGCATTAATGTGATAGAATTGACATAATTTGGTGATGGACTGGACAAGAAGATAAGAAAAAGGGATAAGACAAGAACTATCCCCAGATTTCTGACTTAGCAACTGGGAGCATGAAAATACTGTTTATTGGGACAGATATACAGAGTGGGGGGAAAGAATTGGAAAACTCACACTTCCTGATTGCAAATTTTACTTACAAAGGTATAGAATTAAAACATTGTGGTTCACCAGAAGAAAACAGAGAAAAAGCTTCATGAAATTGGATTTGGTAGTGATTTCTTAGAAATGACACCAAAGGCACGGGCAACAAAAGAAAAAACAAACACACTGCACTTCATCAAAATTAAGAATTTCTGTGCATCAAAGGACACTATCAACAGAGTAAAAATCCAACCTACAGAATGGAAGGAAAATATTGATAAATCATATATCTCGTAAGGGATTAATATCTAGAATATACAAAGAGAAATTCAACAATGAAGAAATAGTAACTCGATTAAAAAATTGCCCTGGCTGGTTTGGCTCAGCAGTTGGAGCGTTGGCCCGCAGATCAGAGAGTCCCGGGTTCGGTTCCGCTAAGGGCATGTACCTCGGTTGCAGTTTGTCCCTGCCCCAGTTGGGGTCGTGTGGGTGGCAACCACTTGATGTGTCTCTCTCACATTGATGTTTTCTCTCTCGCTCTCTTCCTCTCTCTTTCCCTCCTGCTCTATCTGAAGGTAAATGCAAAAATGTCATTGCGTGAGGATAAAAATAAAAAAAAAATGGGTAAAGGACTTAAGTAACCATTTTTCCAAAGAAAATATACAAATTGTCAAAAGCAGAAGAAAAGATGCTGAACGTCACTAATCATTAAGGAAATGCAAACCAAAACCACAAAGCAGCAGCCACCTCGCATCCATTAGAGTGGCCATTATCAAAACAGAAAGCAGCAAGTGTTGGAGAGGATGTGGGGAGAATGAAAGCCTTGTCAGCTCTCGGTGGGTCTGTAAAATGATGCAGCTGCTGCGGAAAATAGCATGGCAGTTCTTCAAAAATAATAAAAGTGAAATCTGATGCAACAATTCCACTTCTGGGTACATACCAAAATATTTTGAGAGCAGGGACTCAAAGAAATATTTGTACATCCACGTTCACAGCAGCATTATTCGTAATAGCCAAAAAATGAAAGCAACCCAAGTGACCATCCACAGATGAATGAATAAACAAAATGTGTGGTATATGATTATTCAGCCTTAAGAAGGAAGGACATTCTGACACATAGGACAACATGGATGAACCTTGAGGATGTTATTGTAAGTAAAATATGACAATCACAAAAAGACAAATACTATAGGATTCCATTTAGATGAGGCAATTACAATAGAAGGGTAATTGCCAGGTGGAGGTGATGGCATGCAGGGGGAAGGGGAGAGTTGTTTAATGGCTCTAGAGTTCATTTGTGCAAGATGAAGACAGTTCTGGGGACTGACTGCATGGCAGTTTAATTGTACTTAATGCTACTAAACTGCACACTTAAAAATTAAGGTGGTAAATTTTATTTTACCACAATTTAAAATAAATATTAAAGATAAATCACTAATGCTCTGGAATTAGTGGTGATTATTGCACAACCTGTGAATACACTAAAATACATAGTGTACATAGAATTGCACACTTTAAATGGGTAAATTAGATGGTATGTGAATTTTATCTCAGTAAAGCTGTTTAGAAAAGAAAAAAAAATAAACCACTACTGATTTTAATATGACTCTAGTACCAATAGATTTGTAACCCATGGGGGAAGTAACTGCAATCCAAATATGCAAGTCCACATATGTTTTTCAAAGCCCCTTCATCTCCTTTAGCATCCAGAAGAACAGGCACATGTTCTATTCAGCTATATGAAAAAGAGATAACAATGACATCACAGGAAAGTTTCCTGTAAATAGAATTTTTATCACAGCCTCCCACTTTATTCCCTCTGACATAGACTGGATGTTTGTCCCCCAAAATTCATCTGTTGAGTCCTAACCCCAATGGGATAATATTTGGGAGTAGGGCCTTTGAGAGGTAACTAAGTTTGGATGAGGGCATGAGGGTGGGGGCCAGGATTGGCATCCCCCTAAGGTGAGGAAGCCTGGCCAGAGCTCACTCCCCCTCCATCATATGAGGGCACGGCGAGAAGGCAGCTGTCAGCAAGCCAGGAGAGGGCCCTCCCCAGGGAACCAGACTGGCCTGCACCTTACCTTAGACTTCCCAGTCTCCAGAACTGTGCGGAACCTGTTGTTTAAACCACCCGGTCTATGGCACTGTGTAATGGCAGCCCAATCTGACTAATACACTCTTTCAGACCAAAGTCTCAAGCTGGAACAGCTGATCTCTGACGCCCTCTTAATTGTACTCAGAATGTATTGCCAGTGCTATGTCTGTGGCTAGAAATGCCAAATCAGGATCCCAGGTAGTTTTCCTGCAAGAAGGCCTTGTCTAAGTCCTAAACACTTTTTAGGAAACACCTTTTAAACAAGTTCAGGGCAATATATTCTGGGCTTTAACCTTCTAATTCTTAATTCCTACATTATTATCACCAAACCTCTTTGCTACTTGGACATAGTCTTAAAAGTAACCATTGATTTTATATCAAACATGATAATGGCACACTTGTGTCCTATACAGAATTTAATCGAGTATTTCAGTTTTAAATATGTGATGAACCTTATACTCAAAATGGCTCAAATCCATCAGTCAAGAGATGTTTCTATTAACATTAATATAATCTTTCCAGTTTCAATGCCCAATCCCTGTAAATTTACATGAGACTTATAGAATTCTCCTAGGCAATCATCACAATGTTTATCCAGAAGATCTTCCATCCCTGACTGACTGGTCCAGCTCTTGCAATTCTGCTTGTGCAGCGAATTATATTTCTTTATTATGTAATGAACATTCAGATCTATGTCTCATGGAAGAGCATAGCCTTTCGAAGGCCAGGGGAGAGGAGAGTGGGGCCTATGCAATAGCCACAGAAGTGATGAAAAGTGGGGCAGGACTGAGCTTAATCTGCCCCTCCCTCCTGCTTCCGGGAGAACGAGGGAGGCGGCAGCCTGGCAGGAGTACAGGGAAGTCACAGAGATCTAGAAATTCCTCTCCAACCAGGTCAACCCAAACGCAGATCCGATCAGGTCCCCCAGGAAGTTCAGACTATCACCCTCCACACCTGCCCGTCCTTTATCAAGGCAAAGTGCTCAACACATTCTTACGGTTATTACGTGCAGTGTCCATCTCAAGTACTGGAAAAACAAATACTCAGACTTTCAAATTTCATGTGAAGAAGAAAATAGAGCGTTCATAAGAGCTTTTAAAGAGATATACCTTATTCCATTCACTTGTGATTCGTAATATAATGCAATAATCCTTCCCTGTTTTCAAGGGTGCATTATAATATTTCCCGTAATACAGCCTGTCTCCAACAGTTATCTCCACGGCGTCATCGGGAACATCTCTGGCCAGCAGTTCTGCAGCCACGTATCCATCAGCCTCGGAAGCATTGCTAAAGAAGGAGGCAGCCCCTTCAGAATCACACGAGAACGTGCTTTGGCGGGCCAGGGGAACCACGAGCACCTGGTAAGAACTAGAAGGAAAAAGAAAAGGTCTATCAGACTCTTGCCTGGGGATTCACTCATTCATTAATTCATATTTATTGAGCACTTGCAATGACAGAAGCACTTTTCTGAGTGCTGGAGACACAACACTGGACAAAAAGGGAAGTCCTCGCCCACGCGGGATTTAGTCTGACAGCTCCAACAGTCAAGGAACTCCCGTCCTAACCCACGGTGTTGTTCCCAGGTGACGCTGGGTGTCTGCCCATGAATGCCAAGGCCATCCTCCTTAGCTGAGAGAGGTTGTTGAATGCATTGCCGCCCTGGGCATACGAGCCATCAAGTTGATCTAATCAGTGATTTTCACGTGGGCAAATGAAGCCCAGCTGTGGAAAGGGCTTAGCAGTCACATGGAGGCTGATTTCCCACAGAGTTAATGTAATAAGTCTGCAAAAAGGCTCCAGGAGATCACATGGTAACCGAACACGGAACTCATGTGATTTACATACTCTGCAGTTCTCAGGCTGATACCAAAATTCATGTGACATCAATGAGAAGCAAGGAGTGCAAGGTTACCATGGGTTAATCTACTCTGACAACATCCTGAAACAGCCAGGATGGCCCAATGTCATGCATGTATTGTGAAACCATTCCCTAACTGTGGACACAGAAACACATTAGCAATCAGGTGTCATTTTGTCATGTGTTTTCTTATTTATCTCCCTCAAATAGAAAACCTGTCAGTGAAAGGAAGTCTAAGAATAAAGTTTCCCTGAGAATGAATCATGCCTTCCTTTTTACCATCCCCTCAGCACATATCTCCTGCCTCTGGTGCAGTAATTGTTTGAACATCTGCTTTCTGGATCAGGCTTGATAGCAGGGATTTGAATGATTTACTCCATATCTTTGCAAGTCCTTACACAGGTCTTTGACTGTGATTGAATCCCCACTAATGTTTCCTGAGTTAAAATTTCAATAAAGAGAAAAAAACACGCAACTGCATCAGATATGATTAGGGTCATTTCCAAAACTCATTAAGCAACAATACTCTGTTTTACCAGGAAATGCACAATTCATTTATGCCCCATCTCCTGCTTGCTGAAGGCCCATGAGTCACTAGGTTAGGAACAGGGAGCCCTCCCCCACAGCAGGTGTGGGAATTGGAAAGTCTCCATTGCAAACATCAGAGGTGTCCCCAGGGCCCTGATTTCCACAATGTCTGGGTTCACTTACGGGCAAAGGGTTTTCTATGAAAGGGACAAAGGAAAGCCTAGAGGGCAATGAGTTGTCACCGTCACCACCAGCAAACATTTACTAAGCACCCACGGCCTATAAGGGAACACCTGTAACAACATACTTTCCTGGGGGCGTGAAGATTTCTCGGAGACTCATGACCTCAGGGAAGAAAGTGAATGTTGCCACAGCTCCTGTCCACAAGCATATCTTCAAGTCCCTCTCCTCTGTCCACGTAGGTGGCGGTGTTCAAGGGCAAAGTCAAAGCTCACCTGAACTATCTGACTCTGCAGTGCCCACCGAAGGCACTATTCACATGGCAGACAGCAGTCTCCCCAGACAGCACGGCTATAATCACCTGAGCTGCTTGACCGTGATACACATTTCTAGCCCCTAGCCCGGACCTATTGAATCAAAATCTCCAGGAGTTGACTCAGAATTCGCCTTGCTGATAAAGCAGCCCAGGTGACTTCTGATATCTGACAAGCACGGGAAACACCACCATTGTGCGAGCCCAGGGACAGGCCGCATCATCCACCCAAGATCACCAAGCTGAGGAAGAAAGCCTGGGTCCCAGAGCCCCTGCTCCTTACAGATCATGCACGAAGCAGACACATGCCTGCCTACACACTGCAAAGCTGCTACTCCAGCTCAACTCAGATACAACAGTCAGGCCCGGGCACCACCCCGCTGCCCTGCCGGTAATTAACCCCGGTGACGTTAGGGAAGCAGTTGTGGCTGTTTGGAACATGACTGTTGTGGAAGGACTTTTCTCCTCTTTCTCATCGCATGCATGACTCCCTTGCATGACTCACCGATAGCCACTTCCTCTTCTGGAGGTGCGGGCCTGCGCAAGTCACAAGGGTAGACTGTGGTTCGGCTTTTCGTTTTGCCTTACGTAATGATTTGGCCCAAATATCACATTTGCTCTCGCAAATTCTCTCAGGTAGTGATATCACAACTTCTGTTCTCTTTATAGCAACAGAAGTATACTGCATTCCAGTTGCTTGTCAGGAGTCGAGAAACAGAATGATTTAGTCAATAGCCATCTCTGGAAAGACTTTTGAGCACTTACTGAACTTAAACTAATGGAAAGACAGAAGAAGCCTAACTTCCATTATAAATGGACACACAGAGAATATCGCGATGTTCTTGTTTAGACTATCTCATGTTTAGTTCCACCTTGACTGCATGGAAGGGTCGTTGGACTGATGGGGTCAAGATAAGGCAATGTGGGCGAGGTCAAGGATGGCAAGGTGACTGTGGTTAGGTCAAGGATGGCAAGGTGACTGTGGTTAGGTCAAGGAAGGCAAGGTGACTGTCATCTCCTTGACTTATTCCTGTGAGCAAGTTGCTCATCTCTCCAGGCAAACCCCTATCTTCCCTTCTGAAGATAGGAATAATTCTGCCTTCATAATTCTACCATGACCTTTGTAAATAAAATGCTTAATTGAACACAATATAGAGCTCCAACTGAGGTCAATTATTCTGTCCTACAACTATCTGGGATTCCAGAAGCAGTCATTAACTATGTGATATTTTGTCCATAACTCTATACATGAATGAATTAAAAGAATTAGCCAAATGACCCTTTCAGAAGCCAGCCATCCATAATAAAGGAAAATATATTCTGGTTTTGGTAAGTGGAATGGTGCTCCGGACTCACTGTCACTACCAGATATCCATGGAGATGTGAGTACAAAGGATGACATGTCACAGACGCCCAACCAATGCTTGTCCAATGATCAAAGATATGGACTTAATTTCCCAAATGCTCGTCTCTGGTCCTTTAGAAGTCTCTCTGTTTGGAAGGGTGCCGGTTGAAATTAAGGTCCAGTCCATGCCCAACTATTCAAGTGCTGCCACCCCAAAAATTCCCAAACACTCCATGGGGATGAGCGGGCAGCCCTGGGGGAGGGGCGGCTACTGACCTCACAGGTCCGTTGTGCTCCTTGGCTCTCCTCAGTTTCAGGCGTGGCAGAGGCCCTCCCTGCACCGTGACAAAGTCTACTTCCGGAAGGGGGGGCTCTGAAACATGGTAAAAAGAAGAAAGCAGTGTGATCAGAATGAGCAAACGCCCGAAGAAAGTGGTCCTGTGGGGTCAGCAAAAGGAAAGGTTGCATGGAAGGAGGGATGAGCGTATTCAGACCCAGAAACAGGCGCAGGGGCGGGAGGGGAGAGAGACCGGCAGTCGCTCGGTGAGGTGGAACGGGAGTCCAGCTGGGCAGAGGCAGGCCACAAAGTGAGCGGTGTGGGTAGAGATCAGGTCTCAGGTCCTAGAAATAAGGAGAAGTCATTTCAAGATTCTTAGCACATGCACATTTTAGAAATACAATTTAGACAGCTCGTTGGAAGATGAGCCGGAAAAGAGCACACGTGTAGGTCATCCAAAACCTAGGTGAGAAGTGCCCGAGGTCTGAGGCACTGGGAATGGAGAGAGGGGACCGAGGGGGAGAGATGGAACAGAGTGTGGTGGAAGATAAGGCAGGGGAAGGAATCTGGGTTTGGGTTTTGGCAACTAAGTCAGTGGTGATGTCTTTCTTCGAGGTCTGGGGGCAGTTCACAAACAGCTCTCCACTAGACCTAAGTTTGAAGTGCTTGTGAAGCGTCCAGCAGGCAGTAGGAAATACATGAGAGGCTCTCGGCCTCTTAGCTAAGGTCACGGGTAGAAATGTAGGTCCAGAGCTTAGGAGCAACGCTGCGGTGGTGACATGGAGTCGCTCATCAGTAGGAGAGGCCAAGGTTACTCAGGGGGGCAGTATGAATGCATCTGAGAACAGAGGAGGGCCCAGAGCGAACCCCGGGCAATGCAGGCACCTAAGACCACGTGGAAGAGTGAGGAGAGATCCCTGCCGCTTCCGCTGAACGGTGCCAAGCCTGGGGTTTCTTCCAAAGCCGTCCAGTATGGTCACACGGATTGATGGATTAAACCTGCGACATTGCCAGGGACCCCAGGAGATCACTTAGAACAGCCCCTGCTTACAATCAAGGCCTCATGCAAATGTGCTGAAGGTCTCTGCCTGTTTCCAAGAGGCATCCAGAAAGAGAGTCCATACTGACCCTCCCCAGAGAGACCGTCGCTAGGTTCCTGCAGGAATGATGGGGGCCGTTGGAGAAGCCCCTGCCCCCTGCCCCAGGGGAATGTGCCCCTTCCTGTTTGAGACTTTCTGCCCCCAGCCCTTCCTGCCCTCACTGACATGCCCTTTCCTCTGTGGTATTTTGTTGTCACAGTGAAGTTAAGTAGTTATCACACATTTCCTGCTTTCAGCCCAGAGGGAGATTAACTTGTTCACTCTTTTAAATTATTCCTCTGTTTGCTCTTCTCTGAGATTAATAACTCTAGCTCCTCTAATCTCTTGGGTAACCTTTTAAAACCACTCCGTCTCACCGCCCTCGGTAAGAGCAGAAAAGAGTGCTCACTCAGCTCGGAGAAGGCGGACCTGCGGCCCAAGCGGGAGGGCATCGGCTGGGCCAGGCGCCTCGCCCCTGCTCCGCAGTTCTAGCTGTGCCCCTGCCATCCATCCGGTCGATTCCATCACTGTGTGGTTTCCACACTGTTTTCTTTCCTTCTTTCTTTCTTTCTTTCTTTCTTTCTTTCTTTCTTTCTTTCTTTCTTTCTTTCTTTCCTTTCTTTCTTTTCTTCCTTTCTTTTCTTCCTTTCTCTTTCTCTCTCTCTCTCTTTCTTTCTTGATTTTAAAGAGAGAGGAAGGGAGCGGGAGAGAGATAGAAACATCGATGAGAGAGAACATCGACTGGCCGCCTCCTGCATGCCCCCCAATGGGGATCGAGCCCACAACCTGGGCATGTGCCCTGACTCCGCACTGTTTTCTGCTCTGCCTGCTCAAGGCCTTCCCTGCCTAAGATTTTAAACAGTCTACTTCATCAGGCTTGTTCTTAGTCACATTTTTGAGGTGAAATAACCTTCTTTTCCAGCCATATTTACAGAGGTTCTGTTTCCCATCCCCCCAACTGTTGTCCTTGGCAGATCTGTTCTCCTCGCCGTTAGCCTCATGGCTGATTTAAACCAAATCAGACCCAAGGCCAGAAATGGATCGTGTGTGAGAAGGTAGTTCTTTCATCCTGGGTATGGAAGGCGGGGAAGACCCGGAAGGGAGACCCTCACTACCATTCCTAGGTGTTGACAACATCCCTCACCTCCTAGAAGCAAAGGAAAATACAGGGGCTGCCATGTCAAAAAACTTTAAAGACTGTGGAGAAAAGCAATGAAAGATAACTTGACCCGAAAAATATTAAATATGTTATAAAATTACAATGATTGAAATCATAAGGTATAAGCACAGGACAGGCAAAGGAATGGAAGAAGCTACAACAGTCTAAAAAGAGACCCAAATAACTGAAAAAACATTTTTTAAGTAAAAATAAATAAATAGACCTAAATAAATAAGTGAAAATATTGTGTGTGACATGCATAGACCTCTCAAAGGTGACAGAAAACTGGCTTATCATTTGGGGGAGAAGGGGAATATTACCATGTAAATTTAGCCTTATACCACACATCCAAACAAATGGATCTAAGTTTGAAACTATTAAGAAGCATTAGAAAATAATAATTAATATGATTTCAGGGTGAGGAAGGCTTTTCTTGGCATGACCAGAGGCAGAAACCAGAAAAGAATCAATAGACTCAATCATGTGAAAATTTAAAATGTCTAAATGTCAAAAAGAATATTGAAAAGAAAATTAAAGTGTAAACAACCTGAGGGTTGTGATAGGTAGAACAAAACATTAACATAATTAACGTAGGCAAACTATTAAGATGTATAAGAGAAAGGAGGTGATCTAAGTGTAAATGTGTTAAAATTCCCCCAAAACCCACCAAAATGAACTAAAATAACCAAAAATAGGAGAAAAGTTTATTTGCACCAAAACCAAAGTCCCAACTTTATACTACATAAACTTTAAGTAAATGCAAGAAGTTAATACACATAAATAAAGACACCACAATGGTTCTTTTCTAATCCTTGGCACCACCCTAGATAGATCGTGCCAGACACTCAAAGCAGGATCAACTGAAATTAATGGCAATAGAAAAACTGGTAGCTTTCACCATAAGTCATCTGGTATCACAAGGTTAGCTACATCTCCCTTGTCAATTAAGTTATGAGACTTGACCTCCCAGGAAGAAGGAACAATCTCTATAGCTCCTTCAGCACTTAGCTTATGTCTTTGTACATAACCAATCAAAAAATATTCGTTGAATGAAATTATGAAGTTGCACCATGCCCCTCCTCCATTCCTATGCCACACAGAAATCCTGGTTCTGGGTTCCTAGAAGTTCCCATGAGCAAGATTTAGTTAAATGTAAGACACTCAGAAGGGAAATTACATTCACTTTTCTTCTGGGAAATCAGCTGCTGCACTGTCCAGGGCCAACCCCCTTCCTTGCCTAACATTTCTAAAAGCCACTGAACAGAGTTCCAGCTCCCCTGCCCCTCTCCAGCACCCTCTTCCGTTTTCACTGCAACCCTTGCCCCTGTCCTTCAACATTCCTAGAACGTTCTCAATAGCCCCAGAAGTCAGCAATACTGGAGTATATTGTTTTCATTCTGTTCCCGTCAGTGAGATTTCACTTAATGTAAGACACTCAGAAGGAAAATCCGTTCACTTTTCTTCTGAGAAATCAGCTGCTGCATTTTCCAGGCCCAAATTCCTTGCCTAACGTTTTTGTAAAAATCAGTTCACGATTTCACTAAAATAAAGCCACATCTTAGGCAGCCAGGCATACATTTTCATGTCAACATATAAGGTTCCCTTTTTTTCCCACTTTTATAAAAGGGACGGTTCTTTTTTCACCCTTTCATGAGATCTTAACAACTTGAGTTTTTACATTTTTTTAAAATTGCAAATTCTTTAAAGAGGGGTAAAATATGCTGTCGTGGTTTCAATGAACTTAAGCAGCTCAATAGTGCTCCCTGGTGTCCATAAACAGAAACACAGACTGCTTTAGCTACTAGGGCTACATTTAACCTACGAAATGAGGTAGGAATAAGTGTCTCATCAAGATGAAACTCTCCCACCAACTCGAAAAGTATGGAATGCTCATTTGAATTAGCAGTGCAAGCCATCCAATCATGGCAAGGACCAAAAAGTAGGAGACTACATAGCTATTCATTTTAATAAGTTACATGGGAAGGAATGTCCAACTCAAACATTAGTTTTCTTTCAAGCCCCCAAATGTGGTAAGCTTTGCCGGGGGAGGGGGTCTAAAACTTTTCTTAACTAACCATGCATCTTCTCAAGACCAATACTATCTGCTGGCCATTTCTGGGGTGGCCTTCGTATTCATTCATTACAAAAACATTTCTTGGTTGCTCTATGTGCTAGCACTGCCCTTACATGTTGGGGATTCAATGTAGAACACACAGACAAAAATCTCCACCTCTAAGAGCTCCTATTTTAGTAAGGAGGGAGAAGATAAACAAATACATTTTAAAAAATGCTATTTCTGAAAACACATAAAAGGATAGGTGGGAAGCCTCTCGAAGGTTATAGCATTTTAGCGAGATCTGAATGGTTGCTCTGTAAAGAAGCCACGTGTAGAAAGTGTCCAGGAAGAGTACGCAGACTTGGATTCTATTCTCTACTAACAGAAAGTCATCGGATAGTTTTGAGCTGTCCAATGACATGTTCTCATATAATTTTTAATATTTTTTCTTATTGATTTTTTTTAGAGAGAGGAAAGGAGAGAGAGAGAGAAACATTGATGAGAGAGAACATTGGCTGGCTGCCTCCTGCATGTCCCCCACTGGGGATTGGGCCCACAACCTGGGCATGTGCCCTGATGGGGAATCAAACCAGTGACTCCTTGTTGCATGGGTTGATGCTCAACCACTGAGCCACACTGGCAGGGCTCATATACATTTTTAAAAGATGGCTCTGACTGGTGAAGTTTAAGACTGGGTGGCAGAGAGGAGGTGTCAGGCAACTGCGAAAGCAGGGAGACCGTTAGAAGGCGACTGGAGACATCCAAGCAAGAGGTTGCTAACTTGGATTAGGTAGCTGGTGGT